TACACGCCTCCTTCTCCTCCCGACTTTACTGGAACTGCGTCTGCTGCTGGGTCCGAGTTAGACACTGAAAAGTCAAGCTAATAAACTTTTTTTCTTCCAGTGATCACTTCTTTTTTTCTTTTTCTTCTTCTTCGTCTGAACTGCTTCCTGGAACCTGTCTGTTCGCTCCTATCGACTGATTTATCCTGCTAACCGATATCTAGTCGTAGCTTGACCGTCTGCGTAGGCCATGGATCCAAAGTTAAACGGGGACGACTTCGTTCCGCCCTTTTTACTTTCTTTTCCTCCGTTCTGTGGCGAGGATTAACCAGTGCTGAACAGAGTTTTATTCAGTTCATCTGGATTTACCTTAGGCTGTATTTTTTCACTTATCACACCTACGAATCACTTACCGAATCGGATGGTTTTCCTAAGGTTTCTTCAGTACTTTTTGGCCTTTGTGATACAGTTAAGTTTTGGTCCTCCTCTGTGCATGAACGTTCCCACCCAACCTACAGCAAGGTTTGCTTACAAACCCAGTGTGAAAACAACCCACCTATCTCTGTGCAGGAAAGAAAAGAGTCATAATTTTCTCTGAATGGACCCCTGAATTAGAATCATCACGAGCTAGCATATTTTACATGTGCTATTTCAGGAAATGTTAACTGAAATTCTGACGGTTTTTTTTGATTAGGAAAGATCACTTGAGTAGGACTGTACTATAAATTAAAGCGCAACATACTCCTAAGATACTTCAGTCAGTTCAGAATGCCGTCGGCAGACATTATAGTCTGTAACAAGACTCCTCGACTAGTATGAATTTGTTTACGTTGATTTTCAATGTGCTTATAAGCTGAGGTATATTTTGTTGAAAATATCATTCCTCGTATTTATTTGGCAACAGATTAAGCCCTCTTTACAAGCTATACTTGAAGGAAAAAAGGATAATTTTCTGTTTTAGAAAAGTTGTTCCCTTCTCGAATAATTTGAACCCAACACGCTCTCAAAATTGCATTCATGAGTTCCGACTGCAGCAACGCAGTTTTTGTTCAAACTCTCATGCCTCAGAATAAAAGGTGATTATTATTTTAAAATACTTTGTAGGCGGGCAAAACCCCAGATATTTGCATGGAGTACGGTCCACGCTTGGAGCACTCAAACTTTCTTATCGGTCGCTGAGCTGAACACATGTTTATGCAATGTGCGGAGAAGCTAATCGAAATTTGAGGTCTAATCAGCTGACACCCTTCCCCCCTCCCACCCTTATTTCCTACGTCACAAGACCCTTTAGTGCAGATTGAACTTTAGGCCATCGGAAGATTCTGATACTTAAATGTCCCATCTAGGAGTATATCCCACTCTGACCGAAAGTATCTGCGAAAGTTGGACACTGAGGACTGACAGACCCATATTATTATTTTTTTATTTATCTATTTATTGCCAATTTACAGGCAAGGTGATTATTAAGAATTTGCTCAATGAGGCTCACAAGTTCAGAAGATCTATTACTCCCAGTAATCGCTGCAAGGCAGCAGACGCGGTACCCTCATGCCTCAAACCGTTGACTGTCATAACAATAAACTTTTGGTGCGATTTAAATATTTTAAACCGTAAGGGCTTCCCAGTGCACCCACTGGAAAGTTCTTGCAAGATAGCGACTATGATAATCCCGTATTTTTTGGTATTAATTTTGTGGAACACAGCACTAGTCCGGCACCTGACGTTTTCGCAATTTTAATAAGGAAGACGTTTGTTGTGGCAGACTAAAGAATATTTAAAAAAATCCATCTAGAAAAGTGACTTTGTGAATGGAAAAATTTAAATACAGGTCACATGTACTCGAACCAATAACTTTCCTACATCTTTTACTAGTGTAGCAAGCTTTCAACTGACAATCAATCATTGAATCACCGAGGCCGCGCATTTTTCACAGTTGGGTTAACTTACTTTAACAAATATGCCAACCCTCCCCCCTAACAATTAAGAGAACCTAATAGTCATTTTGGTAGATTCTAGATGATTACTTAGGAATTCCTGCCTAGACGGTTTGCCGTTCCGTGATGGTGGATTCCATACGAACAGTAAGTGGGGTGGGTAAATTCGATCCAAGTGTGATTCAATTCACGGCTCATGGTGAGCCTCGTAGCTCAATGGTAGAGCGCTGGCTGCGCGAAAGCCTTTCCCGTTGTGTGGGTTCGGCTCCCAGCAAGGCCGCGAATTTTCCAAAATTGTTTCAACTTAACTAAGTAAATCTGTCAAACCCCCCTAACAACAATCAATGTGGATCCACAGGAACAGTAGTCGACACCAATTCGAGTCTTGCCGGTTTGACCCCGTCACTCTGTAAAGCTTTTCGGTTTGATTAAGTCCCTCGTTTTTCCCGTGTCCCTATAGTAGCTTCAGTCCCCGTGAGAGATTTATGTGAAAAGAACAGCAACATCAGAGTCGAAATCTCAACACACCGGACATGGTTGCGGAACCGAGTCGAAATCAACTTCTGTTCGGCTCTGCGCCCCACTGCTATCTGATCGAAAATTCTGACCCGAGAGTCTAAATGCAGACCAGTCGGCAAAAAATGGGGCGGCTCTACTTAAGAATTCCAGCCGGCAGAGCCATCTGCCCGGACGTCCCAAGCTGCGCAGCTGTCCATAAGGATGGAGAGCTCTCCGTGGCAATCAGCCCTTCGGCCTTATTCGGCAAGGTGCGAGTCACAGGGAAATGGCCTGGTTGATTGAATGTTCCCCTGGGGGAGAGGTGGGAGACGGCGGGTCATGACTGCAGGACAGACGATGGTCATTTGGAGGCGGAGGGAAGAGGGGGAGGTGAGGGTGGAAAGCAAATTCACTTAAGGTATGCCCCCGGGGTGACGGAGGTTGAGGGATGCTGATCAAAATTTTCCGTCTCACGAGCGAAAGGTTTCTGGATCACAGACAGGATAGGCAGATTTTCGTGCAAACTCGTGCTACTCGAAAGGCAGCAATGACTTTACTGCAATCCGCCTTGGCGCTAACAACGGCCTGACTCAAGACTGTCCATCCTATCTGACTTTGTCGTACTGTCCGTAATAAGTAGGGACTTCAATAAGACTGAAATCCCTTGAACAGAGGTTTTACTTAGGTTTTCAACCTCGGAAATGATACTTTGTTCCTTGAACTATAGTGGCTAGATTGACGTTTGTCTATCTACCTCGAAAAGGATGCGTTTTAAGGTATGCTTACCTTGCTTATTTGCTAAGTGGCAGCTAGAATAAAGTGTGATCCGTTTAAATGATCAGGACTTACTACTATTGGTACTATGTGACGCTTAATCATGGTGGCGTATGGTTACAGGGATGCTGTTTACCGTTTAAACTATTCAGCGCTTAGTATAGAAAGTACGCAGTTTCGAATGTCTCGTGGTAATATGGGGTTAAATTATTGGCGGGTTGGTCCTGTGTCCATGAGATACAGAAGGGGCCGATGTGTTTAGGTTTCAGTATAATCAGAATTTTTTTTCGATAATAGTGTGAAAAATCAACTAGTTGCTTTCTAAAAAATGGGAGTTTAGTTTGACTTTTACTCCGTTTTTATTTTTCTTTCTACGAACTCGCGGTCAGAAACACTTAGTAAGTTGCTCTTTAATTATATTTAGAACAACTAAGGCCAAACTACCTTGGCGGAAAATTAGACAGGAGTTGATCTTACAGAGCATTATGGTATATTTCACCAGATAATTATTTTTGGTTTGCGTATGTGAGCACACAATGTGAAAGGTATGCCCGATACTACAGCCGGTTGCAATTCAAAGATGCGTATTATTTTTAGATAACTAATAGGTTATCTCGATCGACACCTATCAACTGAAACAACCAGCCACTGACCAAGTTGTCAAAATACTACATTCCTTTTCATGTCCCAAAAGAGCTGAATGTGGGAAAGGCCATTTCGTCAGTTTTCCCGCAGCGAAGATTACTGGTCCTTCGGGTTGCAAAGTGCATAGACTCACATAGCTAAGCGCGGTGACAAAAGTTTGACTGAATTTTTTGGGGAAGAAACGGCTCATTGGACGTCAGCAGACGCACTGCAGTAGATGTCGTCCCTTTTAGGCAACGCATATGCCCAAAACCGGTCAGTTGGGGAGATCTCCGAAAAATGTTCGCTGAGAAACGTAGATATTAAATGTTGTCAATTACTGGAAAGCGTATGATAAGATGGATCCGACAAAGCAAAGGGAATGACCATTTCTGGCTTATGAGCCGTCATCAGCCAGTCCTACCCAATCCCAGATGTGGATCACTTGGAATTTGAACCCGGGACCTTTGGTCTTTGAGTTCACAACTCTACCACTGCATCACGGGCTCGTTGCTTTGTCAGTTGAGATCGGAAATATGAAGAATATGTGGGGATGGCCGATCTAGGTATATTCACTTAGCTGTAAAATTGGCCAAAGCGGCGAACGGAACGACTGAAAATGCACTTTTGGGCTACTTTTGAATATACGCAATTGCCGCCTCAAGACACGCACTGAGACTCAGCTGCCAGCAAGTACACCGCATACGGACCATTTAAACGCCTGGGGTCACACTTTGTCACATTCAAGGAACGACCTGATTAGGGGGACAAGGGGGAGCGGAGCACTATAAGAAGAGTACGATTCGTTCTTTACGCGTGGTATTCGGATAATAACTCCTCGAGGTGAGGGCTGTGAAAGTGAGCCGCCATTTTCTGCTCTCTATTCGCACGTACATTTCTCATAAATACATCAGTTGGACTATTATGCCCGTTCTGAACCGATTTACACCCCTCATTGTTTATCCGAAGTATAACAATGAGGTCATTAACGCATGACGCTAGGACCGTTTTGAAGGAAGTCCAATTTGGCCTAAATTTTTGCGACTTATTCAAGGACAGTTCATGATTTTGGCAATTGCAGTGTCCGGCTATTATGCCTTTATAGTGATCTCCCTTGATGTTGTGCCTAATTTTATCCCCAGTGTATAGAGAGGACATTTGCGCTGAAAATTTCGGAATTTCACTTTCAAAATAAAACATAGATATATCTGCATCAACGGCCATTTAGACTTCTCCGCGGCTTACAAAGCCCTACGATCTTAAATACGCGGAGACGAAGACAACCTGAACTTATGAAAAATAAGCAGCCATGGTCCGGCGACGGGCAGCAGAGATTAAGTTCACCGAAGGCCAAGGTAGCGAGAAGGGGAAAAAAGCATTTCGCCCGATGATCGACTAACTCGATTAGTCACTTAAGATCCTGATCGATTTTCGTTGACAATTAGAGAGCCGCTCGAGTTCTCCCCAAGATCTGTTCTGGTAAGCTTCTCCTCTTCCTCAGAAAAATGGCTACACAGTTCGCAAAGTAAGCAGCAGTCTCCCCTCTTACGGAGTTTACAATTAAATCAAACTTACTA